GGGACCACCCATACACAAAAATGTATGCACGCATGACTGTAAGTCGCTTTGGATAAAAGCGTCTGCTAAATGGCATGTTATTATTATTATTATTATTACAGTAACATTTACATTTAAGTCATTTGGCAGTACAAAAGGCATTGTGGTAGCGTTAGTACTGGTATGGATTTTCCTCACCGCACAGTTAGCTATGCAATAGCTAGCTAGCCAGCCAAACTTGTATAGTTAGCGAGCAACTGCTACTTGCTAACTAGCTACACTCTTGATGTAGCGCCGCCGGGCCCAGCTGTGCTGGCATTTCACCTATCCACTTCATCCACTCATCAGAATAATGCAAATGGCTTCTTGGAGGCGTGAACCAGGAGAACAACACCCCACACCCATGTAGTAGTACATCCTAGCCATGTCAGGCTCTCTGTACATTGATCTTAGACTAGGTTAACCAACACACAGGGTGCGAACCCAAGTCTCCTGCACACCAGAAAAGCATAGGCCTGCTAAGCTGAAGCCTAGGCATTGACTCGGGGAGCCAATGCAACTCTTCAGGTCTCAAGCAAGGTTAGGCTTACTCATCATGCATGTGTGGTAACTGAAACACCTCATGTAAAATCCACCATCCTTTGACCTCCTCCATACAGAGACCCATCTGAGCCACGGCACAAATATGACTGACAGGGTTCAAACAAGAGTCTTCTGCACATCAGAAGATTACATTAGTCCGCTAAACCAAAGCCTGTAGCCAATTAAACTCTTCAGGTATCAGGCATGGTTACTCATCATGCGAATAACTAACCAGGAAGAAGTGGTTCGGTGACCAAGCACATGTGTTGAGTAACTTTGCCTGAGACCAGAAAAAATCCATTGGCTCCCTCCCCAAGCTAAATTGCTTAAGTTTTGGCATAGCAGGCTAAAATGTTCTTCTGCTGTACAGGACACCAGGTTCAATGCACAGAGAGTGTGACATTGCCTGGATGTACAGTACTACTACATGGGAGTGTGGTGTTGCTCTCCTGGTTCACACCTCCAGGAAGCAATTTGCATACACTTTGAAAATGAACAGAGAAAATAGAAAAATGCTAAATTGGGCAGTTGGAAAATGAAAACAGCCCTTTCCATTTCACTTTGCATTTAACGATTTTCTGTTAAACACCCACACCAGTGAAAAGTAACTATTTTCTTCAGCTGAAAGACGATACCCAGAGATTACCCATGATGTTGCACAATGATTTAAGTCAATAGGTCATCATTTTAGTCAAATATTATATATTTGGGCTTGAAGTGGGAACTTCGTGGAAATCTGTGCCAATGACTTGCAAGTTCTTTCTGACTTACGTGACAGTTATAGGGCTGGCTTTAGTTCATTTGGAACCACCTACAAACATGTTAGAATGTGTGGGCTCCTTACTTCCTGTTTACAACCTGCTGTTACTGTGGCTTTACTGGCTCACTGCTGTCTGCAATACACTTCGACTGTTCGAAGATGTTGGATGGGCTGACGCCGGTGAAACGGTGAGTAAGAAAAGAGCTACAGTATATTATTCTGATGAGTGGATGAGGTGGATAGGTGAAATGTCAACACAGATGGTACACCTCATAGTTTCTGGAGACCTGTGCACTGCGGCACTACAACAACAGTGTAGCTAGCTAGCAAGTACAGTGGGGAAGAAAAGTATTTAGTCAGCCACCAATTGTGCAAGTTCTCCCACTTAAAAAGATGAGAGAGGCCTGTAATTTTCATCATAGGTACACGTCAACTATGACAGACAAATTGAGAATTTTTTTCTCCAGAAAATCACATTGTAGGATTTTTAATGAATTTATTTGCAAATTATGGTGGAAAATAAGTATTTGGTCACCTACAAACAAGCAAGATTTCTGTCTCTCACAGACCTGTAACTTCTTCTTTAAGAGGCTCCTCTGTCCTCCACTCGTTACCTGTATGAATGACACCTGTTTGAACTTGTTATCAGTATAAAAGACACCTGTCCACAACCTCAAACAGTCACACTCCAAACTCCACTATGGCCAAGACCAAAGAGCTGTCAAAGGACACCAGAAACAAAATTGTAGACCTGCACCAGGCTGGAAGACTGAATCTGCAATAGGTAAGCAGCTTGGTTTGAAGAAATCAACTGTGGGAGCAATTATTAGGAAATGGAAGACAAACAAGACCACTGATAATCTCCCTCGATCTGGGGCTCCACACAAGATCTCACCCCGTGGGGTCAAAATGATCACAAGAACGGTGAGCAAAAATCCCAGAACCACACGGGGGGACCTAGTGAATGACCTGCAGAGAGCTGGGACCAAAGTAACAAAGCCTACCATCAGTAACACACTACGCCGCCAGGGACTCAAATCCTGCAGTGCCAGACGTGTCCCCCTGCTTAAGCCAGTACATGTCCAGACCCATCTGAAGTTTGCTAGAGTGCATTTGGATGATCCAGAAGAGGATTGGGAGAATGTCATATGGTCAGATGAAACCAAAATATAACTTTTTGGTAAAAACTCAACTCGTCGTGTTTGGAGGACAAAGAATGCTGAGTTGCATCCAAAGAACACCATACCTACTGTGAAGCATGGGGGTGGAAACATCATGCTTTGGGGCTGTTTTTCTGCAAAGGGACCAGGACGACTGATCCGTGTAAAGGAAAGAATGAATGGGGCCATGTATCGTGAGATTTTGAGTGAAAACCTCCTTCCATCAGCAAGGGCATTGAAGATTAAACGTGGCTGGGTCTTTCAGCATGACAATGATCCCAAACACACCGCCCGGGTAACGAAGGAGTGGCTTCGTAAGAAGCATTTCAAGGTCCTGGAGTGGCCTAGCCAGTCTCCAGATCTCAACCCCATAGAAAATCTTTGGAGGGAGTTGAAAGTCCGTGTTGCCCAGCGACAGCCCCAAAACATCACTGCTCTAGAGGAGATCTGCATGGAGGAATGGGCCAAAATACCAGCAACAGTGTGTGAAAACCTTGTGAAGACTTACAGAAAACGTTTGACCTGTGTCATTGCCAACAAAGGGTATATAACAAAGTATTGAGAAACTTTTGTTATTGACCAAATACTTATTTTCCACCATAATTTGCAAATAAATTCATTAAAAATCCTACAATGTGATTTTCTGGATTTTTTTTCCTAATTTCGTCTGTCATAGTTGACGTGTACCTATGATGAAAATTACAGGCCTCTCTCATCTTTTTAAGTGGGAGAACTTGCACAATTGGTGGCTGACTAAATACTTTTTTCCCCACTGTAGCAGTTTCTCACTAATTATACAAGTTTGGCTGGCTAGCTAGCTATAGCTAGCATAGTTAACTGAGTGGTAAAGTAAATCCATATGAAGTAAGCTAATATACAGTATAGCTCAGTGAGTAAATAACTGCTTTATTAGTACTAGCGCTACCGCATTGCCTTAGTTTTGTTACCAAACGTTAAGCTGTCTCCAAAACTGCAAGATGTATCTACAGCAGCGTTTCCCAAACTCGGTCCTCGGGACCCCAAGTGGTGCACATTTTGTTTTTTGCCCTAACACTATACAGCTGATTCAAATTATCGAAGCTTGATGATTCGTTGATTATTTGAATCAGCTGTGTCATGCTGTTTCATGTGTCTTACAGGACTGAGGACTCCCAGGCTGTGTGATGCAGACCAAGGACAGGCTGAGCAAGCAGCAATATTGTAATATTGACATAGAGTGAAGATGTGGATGAAATAGTAATAAAAAATTTTTTTTTAAATACTATATGGGTCCATGTTTTGTTTGGTTTATCATTCAATGCCTGTTCTGATAATGTTTACATAACCAACTACAATTACAAGCTGAGAAAACAATGGAATGGAAAATAAATGATTAAAATGTACAGTAGGTTAGCTAGCCTCTAGTAAAACTCCAGAATTATCACTAAACTCTGTATTCATCCTTAAGCATTTCGTTGGACGGTGTATACCATGTGAATCCCGTACATATAACTAATAAAACTTGAAACTTGATCATTCAATTCCGTTGCAGAAGAGGGAGGAGAGTGGACGGTCCCCCGCCTCGTCGTAGCTACCGTTAGCTGTGCTATGCTCTGTAGCTTTTAGCGAATCTACCCTTTGGGTTTGTTTACAAATCGCGGAGTGTGGGCTGTGCCAGAGACCATATGGGCTGTGCACACGAAGGAAGGTGGAGATGATTTTCAATATTTATAAGGAGCCATATGTCAGTGTTCGGAAAGTGGAACTAAACGAGCATTTCCGCAATAGGACAGAATTACATTGAAATAGTGATAACAACTTCCTCTGGAGGGGTCCTTTAACCTGGTCTGAAACACAGCGCTGTAGCTCTACCACTTTCCAGGCCGACATAGGCGGATATCTCTAGCTTAAACTGACGGATTTTGATGGGGATTTTTTTATCATGTTAATTAGATTGACGCATAGACTCTTAAGGATTTTTAAGTGAATATTTGCACAGCACATGATGAACAATGCTTTTTATCTTCATTTTGACAGGATTATGCCTCAACATAACATGACATTGCAATTGCAAATGAGTTTGAAAAAGATAATTAGCCATTCATCTCATGGCTCTGTCACTGGCCAGTTGTCATTACTGTGTGTTTTGCCAAAGTCTTGTTTTTGCCCCCTCTTTTAAAAAGAGTAAACACCCAACAGGGAGGAAACCAATCCCCATGAGCAAAGTGCAGAAGTGGGAGTAACCACCCGGGCCTGCCTGTTCTGCCCTGCCATTGGTCCCCACGAAACCTGCACCAATTTAAAACCAGACAACAGTTGCTCTCCCCCATCACACTACCACCACAAGCCCCAAAAGATATATAGGGAGAGACAGAGTGAGAGTGTGCCAGAGATAGGGACAGACAGAGAGAGAGAGAGAGAGAGAGAGAGAGAGAGAGAGAGAGAGAGAGAGAGAGAGAGAGAGAGAGAGAGAGAGAGAGAGAGAGAGGAGAGAGAGAGAGAGAGAGACACACATGCACAGAGAGTTATATAATCCTAGCATGCCTGCTTACGCCACCAACATGAGGCTGAAGTTTCCCATCCTGGCTCTGACTCTGGAGATTATCACCATCATCCTGTTTGCTGTGTTTGTGGTCTACGATGATGGGAAACACGGGGGGCACGGAGCCCACAACAACGCCACACACCATGAGGAGAAGACGGCACAGAATCCTCTGACCCTCTACCCCAGTAAGTGACACCTGAAGGCTTCTCAGCGTTAGCCTGTTCCCAGATCAGTTTGTGCTGTCTTGGCATGACAATGACCATAGCAGTTGGCAAGGCAGAAACAGATCTGGGAGAAGGCCACCTCAGTGTGGTGCCACACATTGGATGTGTGGGCTGTCAGTGTGTCAGTCTGGTTGTGGGAGCTCGGTTGAAGAATCATGGATCTGTTTGTATTTGGCTTATTGATGGCAACCATAGTTGCTATGGATGACAGGCTATGAAGTTAATAATGCAGTTGAGTCTCAATGATTTGACCCCTCTTCTCTTTATAATTGTGCAGTAGCTCCTGTGATCAATCAGAGGGAGATGTTGTGGGTTAGCATAGTGTGAGCCTGTTGTGCACAGGGTTGGGGAGTAACTGATTACATGTAATCTGATTACAAAAAAACGGTAATCAGTTACGTTAACAGCAAAAATATTGTAATGAGATTACAGATACCTTCGAAAAACTAGATGATTACTTTTTGGATCACTTAAATTCAGAAAGGATGTTTGGGGAAAAAAATACATTATGACACCTTTCTGTTTTCTCAATGACATTCAATTCAGAATTGAAAAAAGGCACAAATGTAAGTTTGTTCCACCTGAGCGAGTCTGACCACAAGTCAGAGACCACTATGATGACACACCAAATGTGTTTGATGGATCCTTTTGGTCTTCTTCTAATGCCTCTTAAGGGGAAAGTAATCCGAAAATTATCAGATTACGTTACTGAGTTTGGGTATTCCAAAAGTTACATTACTGATTACAATTTTGGACAGGTAACTAGTAACTGTAATGGACTACATTTAGAAAGTAACCTACCCAACCCTGGTTGTGCACGTGTCCATTGCAGCACACTCACACCTAAAATGACTCTGTATGGAACAGGCCAGATGCTCCAGCTGTCATAGGGGCACCCCTCGGTCAAGAGCGTTGGGCCAGTAACCGAAAGGTCACTGGTTCAATTCCCCGAGCTGACTAGATGAAGAAATTGAGCAAGGCACATAATCCTAATTACTCCTGTAAGTCGATCTGGATAAGAGTGTCTGCTAAATGACTAAGATTAATGCCTGGACTGAATGGCATCCACATATTTACAATGAAACTTGCATGTGCACTGAAGGGAAATTCTTAGTTATGGGTAAAAGTGTTTGCACATGTGTACATTAATTTGTGTTTGGAGACTATTGTAATTCTTGTGACTTATCAGTTGAAAAGTGACAAAGCCCCACTCCTACTACTTTACCTATATGACACTGGCATTAAAAATAATTTAGAAGTGAGTCTGGTGTTCGTTGCTTGGTTCTTGGAATCCTAAAACTTTTATTTTTTGTCTAACTTTATACAGCATAAATACTTGAAGACTTACAGTATGGAGGTTGCCCATAAATGTGCAGGGCAGGTGTCACCCAAAGAGATTAGTGCAGTGCTTAGCATTTGGGTTGACCATTTTACAAAATTCTAAGAAATGTTAAAGGGGAAGTTCACCAATTTTTACATGTAGACTTAGTTTCACTCTTTTTGTGATTGTAGTTGATCCCCCAAACTATTTGCATTATGAAAATGTGTCTAAAGCATGTTCGAAAACACTCCAAACCAACTCATATTACACCAGAATCCCATTCTGAATGATCTCTGCATTCAATTTTAGAAAACGAATTCCACTGTCCCATGAATCCATATTTGCATATTTTTGTTGTAAACACAATCATTCAAACATGGATTTATGGCACAGTGGAAATTTTTTTCAAAACTGTTGTACAGAGACATTCAGAATGGGATTCCGATGTAATATGAGTTGGTGTGGAGTACTTTAGAGTGTTTTCTAACATATTTGCATATTGCATTATTGTCAATGATGACTCAGCAAAATGTGACAACCAATTTTCTCTGTAACAAAACAAAACATAAAAAAACGGTTTGGGGGATCAACTACAAGCACAGAAAGAGTGAAAATTATGCCACGTGTAAAAATGGGTGAACTTCCCATCTTTGTTTAGGTTAAGTCATATCCAAAGACATCCAAATAGTTTTTATAACTATTGGTTGTTTTAACTGATCAGAGAAACAATATAGGGTGAATTCGAAATAAGTGGTACACTTTTTTCCGTCTTCTGTAACCTCTTTTGTCATCTATCCAACAAATAAGCCAACACATGATTCATTTCTGAAAACTTCAAGATGTTTCCTAATTATATTCACAGGAGGCATGACACACCCATTTGTGTACACTGAGTCAAAACCATATTTTCAGTTCGCATTTGGTTAACTGGGACAGCATGTTAAATAAACTGGGACACCATTATTATAGTCCTAATTGTACCCATATGACAATTCTATTCAATTTTGTGTGATAGGAAACATCTGAGGAGTTCAGAAATGTATCATGTGCTTACGCTGCTGCTACTCATTGTGTATTATCTATGCATAGTCCCTTTACCTCTACCTACATGCACATATTACCTCAATTACCTCGACTAACCTGTACCCCTGCACATTGACTCGGTACTCCTGTATATAGCCTCGTTATTGTTTGACTTTTATTTATTTGTATTGTATTTGTATTTTTATTTATTTTTTAGCAAATATTCTGTTACTTACTTAAAAGGTACAGTAAGTAAGCATTTCATGGTAAGGTCTACACCTGTTGTATTCGGCGCATGTGACAAATAACATTTGATTTGATTTGTTGGGCTAATATGTTGGATAGATGTTTGAAGAGGTTACAGAAGACGGAAATGTAAAAAGTGCCCCACTTTTTCTGAATTCACTCAAATAACAGTACTAATAACAGTACTAATAACAGTACTGATAACAGTACTAATAACAGTACTAATTACAGCACTACAAGAAAAAATGAACAGGATATAGTACTACAAGAAGCAGAGCCCTGCCTAACTTCAATACAGGGGGTCCCTAATGTAAACTGGATCTCTTTCCTCCATTGGAAAAGCCTATAAGACTGTCCCACTTTAGTTACTCCATGCTGTCCTACTTTAGTTACTCCATGCTGTCCCACTTTAGTTACTCCATGCTGTCCTACTTTAGTTACTCCATGCTGTCCTACTTTAGTTACTCCATGCTGTCCCACTTTAGTTACTCCATGCTGTCCTACTTTAGTTACTCCATGCTGTCCCACTTTAGTTACTCCATGCTGTCCTACTTTAGTTACTCCATGCTGTCCTACTTTAGTTACTCCATGCTGTCCTACTTTAGTTACTCCATGCTGTCCTACTTTAGTTACTCCATGCTGTCCTACTTTAGTTACTCCATGCTGTCCTACTTTAGTTACTCCATGCTGTCCTACTTTAGTTACTCCATGCTGTCCTACTTTAGTTACTCCATGCTGTCCTACTTTAGTTACTCCATGCTGTCCTACTTTAGCTACTCCATGCTGTCCTACTTTAGCTACTCCATGCTGTCCTACTTTAGCTACTCCATGCTGTCCTACTTTAGTTACTCCATGCTGTCTTACTTTAGTTACTCCATGCTGTCCTACTTTAGTTACTCCATGCTGTCCTACTTTAGCTACCTATGGTTGGTGAAGCAGGACAACAACAAAAAATGACTGAATTACAAAATAGAAACATAATATTTGAAACGTTTTTTGATGTATTTTGATGCACCAGTACATAGTATGCACATTTACATCACAATTTGGCACAGTGCAAGTTTTATAAACAAAACAGAAAATAAGCTATGTCACTGATCTTACCGCGGGGTGAGCTTCCTGTTTGAAGCTTGCTCTGCCCCCCTCTATGATGTCACACCAATCAAGTGAAGTGATTTTGATCATGTGGTTTCTCAGCAAGGGCTTAGTAACAATTGCTTAGATTTTCTCTTGTCAGATGAAGAAATAAACGCATCAGGATTTAAGCTGTCCCAGTTTATATGATGTCCCACTGTATCCGAATTCACCCTACATAAACCAAAATACGTAAAAAAATGTATTCAAGATATTAAATAGTAATTGTTTAATGGAATATACAGTTAGAAATGCGTATAAAAGATGGCAATAACTTTCTTTCTCTTCTCTATGAGAAAATGTCAGGGGTCTGATGTTGCGTGCAATGTGGGGTCGTCCATATTGTGCATACCAAAGCTCCACAATTACAGGTTCAAAGCAGAGGAAATAAGCAGAGAAATGCAATTTAGAAAAAATAAGGAACCTATGTTGTTGCTGGGCTTTATCATCAAGGGACAAAATCAGTGTTGAAAAAATGTAATTGAGACGAACCAATGGGTTCTGTGGCTCTGTGAAATACTTGTTTTCCTCAGTGAAGTGGGACCTTAAGATTTTATCGAACACCGAGTTGTTTCACAGCCATAAAGCCCTATCATCAAAGTCAGGCGGAATTCAGACAAAATTATATTTTGTAATTACAGTTCACAACAACACAAAAAGTGACTTGTAGTGAGATTCAGTTGGACGCTAAATTAAAGTCAAGAACCTCAAAAGGCACTGGTGCCTTGGAGGTTTGCCCATATCTGCATGAGCCATACTGGCACGGGCGCCTGCCCTAGTGAATGCAGTGGCGTTGGCACTGGGTCATCATGCCTGGGTGGCAGAATGAGCACACTAGGGATTCCTTCTCATCCAAAACCATGGGGGATTACTGAAATGCTAACGGAAGGTTGAGGAACTACAATTTAATTCCCTTCAATGATGTTTGATGCTGATGCATTTCAGACCAAGCTTCTTCGTCAGAGTATGGTGCACTGACCTCCAAACATTTCAGCATTCAACATTATTGAAAATAATGAAGTTGCTGGCCTGAAACCCTTCTCCTTTCAGACTGACACCCCTTCAGACTAGCAATCCAGAAAATACTTGATATCCTGGTTAGAGTGCTAGCACAATACAACTACCACATGGAGGATGACCTAACGTGTTGGGCAAAGAGGCCATCTAAGAGGCTGACTTCCAAACGGACCTCTCTACCTCCCGCCACATCCTTTTCTTAGAGCCGCCAACTGGTATGATGTCACTAAGGGATCAATTATTCAGGTGATATAGGACCATCCAAGGGGTTCCTCAATGGGTCACTGCATAGTGCATAGCTCTAAACTTTCCAAGCCAAAGAAATAAAACATTAGAGATTTTAGATGACAGTGCTGGTTAAGACGACAATGTGCAGTGGTGGGCCGAAAAAGAAAGATATGCAATATGGACAAGACAAAAGCTGAGACTTCTGCGGCTCTATAGGCGCTTACAACGCCAGGAAGTTATCAGGTTAGGCAGTTCTCAGTAACTTTACACGATACATCGTGTATTCTAGTTTGTATTAGCATACAGTCCATTCCCTTGCATTCACCCAGAGATAATGTTTAACAACAAAAATGCAGATTTGTTCCATTACAAAAGTCAAGTCAACACACGGCTATTTGTATATCTTACCTTGTATATATCTTACAAGGCTATTTGTATATCTTACATATCTGACATTGTTCAGACTTCGATTTCAGGGAAAAGATTGAATAGATTTGAGTTATTTGTACCTTGTATATATTTTACAGGGCAATTTGTATATTAGCCTACATATCTGACATTGTTCAGACTTCGATATCAGGGAAAAGATTGAATAGATTTGAGTTATTTGTTTGTTACCGGATGGGCGCGGGTGTTCTGACCAGTGCCAGAGGGGTTATAATGTATCCTATGACGTCTCGGAGGCATTGCGTAAGTAATACTAAACCTGATTAGAATCAGGTTGTAGTTTGCTGAATATCATCCATAGCAATACAATGCACTACTGTGAAGAAAGAGCCAGTCACATGTAAACACAATAATGAGAGAGAGGAATTCACAAACTTCTAATCGGAGACAATATCTGTTTAGAAGAGCTAACCTTCCTGTTTACTCTGTCTCTATCACGTGTGGCAGAAATGGGGAGCCTCCAAACAAACTCTACTCTAAAATTAATTGCCAGTTACAACAATCCCTCTACAACTGTACAACGCAGCATCAGTTATACTTATAGTACGGTCTAGAATGGCACAGATACACATAGAGATAGAGATGTATATAAACTCTAGAATGGCATGCTGGTAGACAGAGTCATATAGTACATGGTAGTCATACATAGTCACAGACAAAAAAAAGACAATTGACCTATGGGCTAGTCTATGCTGCAACTAAGCCCCCAAACCCCCCACCCCCCACCCCCCACCCCCCACCCTATATTCCATCATTTTCCCAGTCAGGACTTTCTTAGTAGTGACTGTCTGCCTAGGTCCTTCCCTGACACCACAATGCTAACTGCTCACCACAATGCTAACTGCTCCCCACAATGCTAACTGCTCACCACAATACTAACTGCTCACCACAGTGCTAACTGCTCACCACAGTGCTAACTGCTCACCACAATGCTAACTGCTCACCACAATGCTAACCAGACCTGGAGAAACGAGGCCTATTGTTTTCCCTTTCTGCCACACCTTCATGTACTTTCCAGATGAGAACCAGTCATCCATCGCACACGGCTTTTGGGAATAGGAAGTTGTCAGGCATTTCAGGGAAGGGAACCTTTTGTGAGCGTCGCGCGAGAGTGGAGCTTGGAAAATTAGGATCGTTCCTCCGGCGGCGGTGGAAATACTGTTCTAAGCTAGACACACAGGCATGCACAAACACACACCAGATGCACACATACATACACATCTGGTCAGTCTCCTGGGCTAGTAGCCTGATCCTTATCTGCAGACGATCGGACAGAGCTCACATCCTGCTGTCCACAAACACAGTGAACTAGAACCATCATACACCCTGTAAGTAAAGTCTCTGTCCTCTTACGTACATCAATCTAAATATACAGTACATAAAGTGCGAGGACAGTGATCCATACACAAGACCCCTGTCCTTATAATTCCAGTAACTGAAACTAATAGTGAGGAATGTGTTTAACTGTGGAGTGTCTGCTTCCCTGAGACCCTCTAATAAGTTCAGAAGACTTGATTAAGATCATGTGAAGTCAGTGAATGGAACAGCGTGAGGCTACTGACACGACACGTCAAACTGGGTTAGCCTCAGTTCTCAGTATCCCATTCACAGACTAATTGAATTGGTCTTCCATCTTCCGACAAGTCAGGATTTACATTGACCCCCTCGTGTGGACAGGGTTTACTACGGTTGCAGCACAGTCCAATGCGGCAGCTCCGTGAATCATTTGAGCATCAAAAGGCAAGGCCCTAGGTATTTGATCAATTGCTGGTCTGTTAATTGATTTGAATGTCTTTGCAGTTGTGTTCGTGTCTCTTATTTGTTGTTGTCTTGTTGACACCCTTTATCAGTTTCATTCAGTTGTCATCCTCTCTGTTTTTATTCAATGTGAGGAATAAATCAAATAGGGCCTTAACGGACCTTCAATAAAACCATGTTATGTTAAGGATCAAAATAGTCAAACTCCTCTGAGCTGACCTCTGACCTGCGTTCTCATTGGTCCACAGTGTTCCAGGATATCCACGTGATGATCTTCATTGGCTTCGGCTTCCTGATGACCTTTCTGAAGAGATATGGCTTCAGCAGCGTGGGCCTCAACCTGCTCCTGGCCGCCTTCGCTCTGCAGTGGGGTCTCCTCATGCAAGGCCTCTGGCACCTGGACAACGGAAAGATCAAAGTTTCCATCTTCAAGTAAATACAATAAAACACGTTGTCTAAACTAACACCTGACTTATTTCACCTGCTAGCACTGACTTGTTTAAAGAAATGTACTTATATTAAGAGCGTCTGCTAAATGACTTAAATGTTAAATGTAAAACACAGTACAGTCAGAAGGAATGAAGCTAGCATTAGCATCATTATGTGCACATGATAGAGGACAACTGAGGAGAAGTGGTCTGTTTTAGTGTTAACAATCTCTCTCTCTCTCTCTCTCTCTCTCTCTCTCTCTCTCTCTCTCTCTCTCTCTCTCTCTCTCTCTCTCTCTCTCTCTCTCTCTCTCTCTCTCTCTCTCTCTCTCTCTCTCTCTCTCTCCACCTCCTCCTCTTACTCCTCACCAAAAGGATGATCAATGCAGACTTCAGCACAGCCACAGTTCTGATTTCGTTCGGGGCGGTCCTGGGAAAAACCAGCCCAGTCCAGCTCCTCATCATGACCCTCCTGGAGATCACCATCTTCGGCATCAATGAACATCTGGTGGCCAACGTCCTGGGGGTCAGTGCACTTCACCATCATCTCAGAACCCACATGTTAACAGTCTGTCACAACATATTAACTTCACCCCTATCCACTCATCTAAGCACTTGTATACATGAAAGACAACACTATGCAAGAAACTTATTTTAGTTAATACAGTCAGTCCAATGAGAAATATTGTGTGCAGTCTTGTGAGTACCGGTAAAACAAATGTGTGAATCCCCTGTTGGCCCATGTATCATCCTACCAAAAGGGCTCTTACAAATATAATCATGGCGTAAATTCATAGGGATGAGTCTACAATAGGGAAAATACATTTAAGGTCAAGGGGTCAAACTTTCTTTTATATTCTTGAATCTGTCCATTCCTATTCCCAACCAATCAGTGCACTAGATTAGCTTGGGAATGGGCAGAGGCTTGATGGATGTGTGATTGACAAGTGATTGAGATAACTAGCAGGCTAAGGAGAACGTTCAGTTGGGAGGGCTAGATCTTTTTTCTTTTTTTTTTTCTCAACATAATTAAGTGGTTTATGTGGTTTGTCCCACTTACAGGCCAATGATGTTGGGGCCTCCATGATTATCCATGCCTTTGGGGCATACTTCGGTCTGGCAGTGGCCCGCATGCTGTACAGGCCAGCTCTGAGGAACGGTCATGAGAACGACGGCTCTGTCTACCACTCTGACCTCTTCGCCATGATTGGTAGGAGCAGCAGCTCACACGGCAGTCATCACAGTCAATGCAACATTCAGTTGATCTTATTACTGTAGTCAGTCACTAACTACTATTAAAAGATTAGATAGATCAGCCAAATATTGATAAAATGTTCCCTTATGTATCTTTGGAACACTAGAAATAGAAATTCTGCAATATGTGCCTAAGGGAATGCCTAGGGAATGCCTGGCTGATCTATGATCAAAATGAATGATATTATATGGACGGGGGGACCTGATCCTAGATCAGCACTCCTAATCTGAGAAGCTTGATACATTTAGCCCCTGGTGTCTGTTTGCATGGTATATTTATATTTTACTCATAAGGGAAGGGGTGTTGTAGGTAGGAGGCTCAAGTGGCGGCTCCTCCACATATCCTAGTCACATACGCCACCTAGTGGACAGAAAAGTGAATCGCTTCAGACTAGCAGGCCAACTTCTGTTTGACATAGTTTTAATACATTTCATGCAATCGTTTTTTTTTTTATATTTCAGAATCAATTGAAGTAGCAGACAAATGCAAATCCTTACTTCAATATCTTCTCCAGGTACCGTGTTCCTCTGGATGTTCTGGCCCAGTTTCAACTCCGCCATCGCAGAACCCGGTGCTGATCAGCTCATGGCCGTCACCAACACCTACTTCTCCCTGGCTGCCTGTGTGCTCTCCGCCTACGCCGTCTCCAGCCTGGTGGAGCACAAAGGAAAACTGGACATGGTGAGATATCACATGCTTCACTCAAACCACAAAGAGTCAGATCACAGCAAAGCTGTAGATTGTTTACCTCCTCAATTTATTTGACTTGTTTATATTCAAACAAGACTATTGAGTGTGTGTGTGTGTTTGTGTGTGTGTTGTGTGTGTGTGCGTGCGTGTGTGTGTGTGTCTCTGGGAGAGAGGCAATAGAATCTCACACAGCACCTACTATAGCAGAGCTCATTTATGCTTCTGTCGCTTCCATAGGTCCACATCCAGAATGCCACTCTGGCTGGAGGTGTTGCCGTAGGAACCTGCGCTGACATGAACATTGGGCCTTTCGGTGCCATGATCATCGGGTTCGTGGCTGGCATTGTCTCCACCCTGGGCTTCAAGTTCCTCACTGTGAGAACAAAAGTCACACAAGTCTGAACCAATAGGAAAACAATCCTGAGATGGACCAGGACACCAAACTGGCTAGAAAAAGCCATAGTTAACTAGGGTTGTAATGTAGACATGCCTTGTGAGTGTCAATAGCTCAGTTGGTAGAGCATGGCGCTTGCAATGCCAGGGTTGTGGGTTCGTTTCCCACGGGGGGCTCTGGATAAGAGCGTCTGCTAAAATGTAAATACATCCACATTCTTTTGAATGATACATTTTTACCAGCATCCTAACTAACTCCTCAGTCCAATGAGCAAACATTGTTCTGGTTGTGGTTGGTTAAACCCGTTTTGTGTGCTAGGAGAAACTTGCATTTTAGTCAAAACAAACACCTACCATCAGATTGCTAGAAATATGTTGAAATTAGTGGACAGTAGGGAATGATGTGAATGAGACCACTGTTTCTCTCTGCATTTCAGCCCATCCTGGCATCCAACCTGGGCATCCAGGACACCTGTGGTGTCCACAATCTGCACGGCATGCCTGGCATCCTTGGGGGTATCTCTGGCATTGTGGCTGTTGCTCTGGGCAAGAAGGATGGGTAAGGTTCATCCAACGGCGTTCCTCATACTGTACATCTATAAAAAGCAGATTAAGAAACAGGAATTATTTTATAATGACTTTTGGTCAATTACAATGTGTAGTCATTTTCATGATCAACACTGATGGGAAACACATCAACTTTGAACAGTCGCCATATTTGTGATCTCTGTATAGATAGTGTAGTTCTGGAATGTCTATAGTAATTCACTTTTCAGTGAAAGTGTGAGCTTGGTCTCAATAATAAGGGTCAAAATAAGGGTCTCTTAAAATACCTAAGTACTGTCCTCCTCTCATCTTCTCTTCTCTGCCCGTCTTCCCTCAGGAGCGCAGCCATGCAGGGTGCAGCCCTGGCCTCATCCCTTGGGTTCGCTTTGGTTGGAGGAGCCATGACAGGTGGGTGGAAGAGACACAGTGAAATGTTTTGTCATTCAAAAAATCTACATCACATTTGAACAGACTTCTTGTCGTTTTTCGTATGGTAATAGAAAGATGATATTTCTATACACGTCATCAAATCATTGAGGTCATGGCAATTTGTTTTATTCCATGCAGCTGGGAAACATATTGAATAATACTGTAATTGACTTATCTCTCTGTACAGGTCTGATAATGAAGCTTCCATTCTTGGGACAGCCTCCAGATCAGAACTGCTTTGATGACTCAATCTATTGGGAGGTAAGAACTCGAGAGACAAAATACATCATCCTTGAACATCACTAGCTTATCACTAGCTTACAGTTGAAACAAACACCTGAGCTATATAGTACACGGTACAGGATGTTTTATGTATTGGTGTGAAACTCATATAACATTTGAGATATCCAATACCATAATGTGGCATTAGCCATCTATGACTAAGAGTATATATTCTTCTTAGTCATATATGGCTAAGATGGCATATTGTATTGTATTACATGTCACGTGACCACCAGGTGACATGCAAAAAAATATTTGATTTAAAAAATACTATCTTAGAACAAATATGATTTGGCATAGATGAAATGGCAGCTAAACTGTAAGATCTGTTCCTGACTGAGATGTGACTGTCCTTAGGTTCCTGAGGAGGAGGAGGGTGAGGAGAGTCTGGCTCACGGAGACCATTCCATGAACAAAGCAGAGGCCTAAATCTCCCGCCTGTGCTGCACATACATTATCCACAACCCTTTGAGCTAAAGATGGGAAAGTGAGAGATCATGAACCAGACATTAGACCATGGGTGTATCTCAATTGTCTTAGCTGGCTTCCTCTCCTCGTCTCCTCTCCTACCAGGACTTCCTGCATCACCTGTCTAATGTCTTGACCATCAGTGCAGAAGGAGAGAAGGAGAGGAAGCCATGTTATACTATTGAGATCAACCCAGGATGACCAGTGCTGTCAACTTGTCATTTGTTTTTATCTACAGCATAAATCATTTGATTGATTTGAGACAAATTGAGATCATATCAAATCATATTTGAAGTGGTTCATGCTACCTTATTTACACATCTCTAATTCAATCTGAACAGCAAGGAAGCTCATGTTACACTTTTCTGTGTAACAAACTACGTCCTCATTGTCCATAGATTTGTATTAAATATTTTCATTTTTAATTGAATAGAATAGGTCCACTGAAGATCATTTGGGAAAGATGTTGTAGCTCATTATAATTTCAACTAAAATGGATGGGTGGGTAGGTGTGTTACATACAAAACATGTATTATCAGGTCTCAACGCAATTGAAATAACATTGTAAGTATTTTTGTTTACAGAAAATGCAAGCATAGTTTTGGATTTGTTAGTCTGAAAATTGATTTCAACAAAGCAGCATTTTGATATAAATCACCCTTAATCAGTTGCATTGAACCATTAACTGTTCTTTCACACATTCGGAGTAAAGATACTTTCAGGGATTATTTTTTTACACTGAATTTGATGACCAATAATGTGCCCCTGTTCTGAGCCACTAGACACAGTAGAAACACTATAGAAATAGTAGAAACAGTATATCAAGCTGACATTCAATCATATCACCAATCCTCCTCAAAATGTTAACAGACATTTGTTTTTCCTCATTAGTTTTCCTCATACATTGTATATTTTTCTCGACAAACCTTTTTATGTCGCCATCCAATTGACATTACCGATATTGTGTGCTAAACCTTGTTTCATCAAGATAATCAACTGCTACTTTGGCCTGCTGCAGAGCTAGGCCGCCTCACTGGAGCCCACTACTCCGCCTGGAGAATCTGATCCCAGATCTGTGATGTATAAGCAGTAGCTACCCACTAGGAACAGATTTCATTTCAACGTTTAGTTTTGATTTTTTTTAAATGTGAGTGGTCAACTAACGTGAATTCAACGTGAAATCAACAACAACAAAAAAACATATCAATCGATTTAGGTTAAAAGTTGGGAGACTTTCTGCAAATCCAACAGTTTTCCACGTTGATTCGACGTCATCACATAGAACATCACTAGCTTATGACGTGAAAACAACGTGGTTGATTCAACCATTTTTGGCCCAGTATTCATCAAGCGTCAGATGAGGTTTCTTTATTTCCTTCACTTCTTATTGTAGCCTCTTAATGTACATTGTAGATAGTTACACAATGGATATAGTTCGTTTCTCTAAATCCGTGCACCTAGGGCTAGCAATTGGCACTGAGGAGTGTATCAGATTAAAAAAAAGTATGTATTTATATATCTCAACCATTTTGTTGAATAAAACTAAGGTTATACGTTAGAATGCAGGAGGAAAATAGCCTGCAATAGTTATTGTACTAGACCATTGTTGCAGGGAAAGATTAAACTGACTACAGATAGATAAATAGCCTAGTATTTCATTTGGCTGATGTAGTAGCCTATGTGTGATTTAAACGTAGGCCTAAAGCTTAGAACACCAGCAGTCAAGACTGTTGAAATGCTTGACATGACATTAGCTTTTTTATGTTGCAGAAAATGAATATGTATTACACTTTTGTTAGTGTATAAATACTAATACTGGCACTTATAAATATGGTCATATACAATATCCGAGTGACTCTGTGTGTGGTTTTTGCCATGAATCCACTGCATAATCACCATCAACAATATTTTCAAAACCAGAAAGTTGTGGCTAGTAGAAGGGGTGATGGAGTGCTGTACCTTTTCCAGGGTCAAGACCCATGCACTAATTAATGTGCATCCTTTGACCACACAGACAGACGTTTGCCAGGTTGCAGGGTTGAGAGGTCAGGCTTATTCTGCACAAGGAGCATTATAACTGTCACTGAAGGATTTTGTAGATTCACGACTTGTGTGTGCAATATCCAGTGACTGTATGACTGTATCCTATTAGGGATAGGTTTTTTCTCTCTTTCTGATTGAATGTTGTTTTTGTTAAGAAAATACAGTGTTATTGCCTTACCTCTTCCAAGCCGTCAAAAGTAGAAACATTATGTGAGCCCGAGGTTTAAAACCATAGAAATTGAATTATATTTCTGTTGAAATCATTGCGGTGTTCCTTTAATAAATCAATCGTGCATTGTGGGATGCAAAATGGCTCAATCGTGTTGTCAGCAGAGTAGCCAACTAGCTGTCTCTTACAGGCATACTGTTACATTTATAAATAATTACAGTCGATAAAGCGTTGCTAATAATTGTATAGAGAATATCACTTTGATAATCATCAACTTTTTATTGCCTTTGCCTCTTTTTGTCGAGACAACAGCCACCATGGTAAGTACCTAGCTACCTAACAACTTGTTTTGAATTCAGGAATGGCTTCACTTAGCTAGCTGCGTTAACTACATGCAAATTGCTATTATCGATGAGAGCTAGGTATCTAGCTAATTTTCCAATGAAATAAGTAAGCCAACTTGGCAAAATTATTCAATGATGATCTGACGGTGGACTACCGGAGGAGAGTTAGCTAGCGCTAACTGCATGAACGGATAGGCTAGCTACCTAACTAGCTACTAGCTAACTACTGATGATCTGTGTTTATAAAATCTAACGGGCTTATGATAGAGGTTTGGGCTCACAATACAAACAGATTTACAAGGCATTGCCTTTTACTTTGTCTTTGTTAGTCCGCCAAAGTAGACAGAGTGAGAAGTGAGTCCAGCACAAGAAGAGATGAAATAAAAATTACTACTACTGAGTGTGCCACAAGAGGAAATGACAGAAGTACTGAGTCTGCCACAAGAGAAGACAGAAGATCCACAAGCACAGGTCATTTAATGGTTTATTGCGATCACTTAACTGATATCACAAGTGTGTGTGCGTGCATCTACATTGGAGTCATGGTGAACAGTCACTGCTCTCTTGTATTTTTCTGTTGAAGGGAAAGAAAAAACAAAAACGAAACGGAGCCGCAGTAGATCATCTTCCTCATCATCTTCATCCTTGTCATCCGGATCCTCTTCATCATCCCCATCCCGCTCTTCATCCCACAGTAGGAGTAGTTCCAGCAGCAGTGGTGAGTGTGCCAGTACTTGTCCCGTAGTTGTAAAGATGCATATGTACAGTATCTGATAGATGGACCATAATATATCAGGACTCTACAGTGACATTTCTTACAAGGCGCACATGTGCTCCTAAGTTGAAAAATGTAGGAGCACACAAATAAATTTAGGAGCACAATGACAAATATTTAAGGTATTAATGAAAAAAATTGTCAGCAAAATAGATTTTTAAGATTGAGATATAGCCTACATTGGGCCTATATCAATCCTAGCTACTTTTGAAGCTAATCTCCTGAAGAAGCTCTCCCTTTTACTTTCTTTATGTGCCACTACGTTTGCATACTACTGAGACTGCGGGACAGCGACGAAATCATTACAACAACTATTAACTGGGTGATTTATTTATTTTTTCTAGGGGCACTGGTGCTCCCCCAAAAAAATTCCAGGTAGCACAACAAAATATTTAGGAGCATATGCCCCCAAAATGGTAGCACTGTAGAGCCCTGTATATGTACAGTGCATCTGGAAAGTATTCAGACCCCTTGACTTTTTCCACATTTTGTTATGTTACAGCCTTATTCTAAAATTGATTAAATAGTTCTTTACCCTCATCAAATCTACACACAATACCCCATAATGACAAAGCATAACGTTTTTTTATTTTATTTATTTTTTCATTTTTGCAGATTGAAAAAAAATAAACTGAAATATCACATTTACATAAGTATTCAGACCCTTTACTCAGTACTTGTGGAAGCACCTTTGGCAGCGATTACAGCCGCAAGTCTTCTTGGGTATGACGCTACAAGCTTGGCACAACTTTATTTGGGGAGTTTCTCCCATTCTTCTCTGCAAATCCTCTCAAGCCCTGTCAGGTTGGATGGGGAGCGTCGCTGCACAGCTATTTTCAGGTCTCTCCAGAGATGTTCGATCAGGTTGAAGTCCAGTCTCTTGCTGGGCCACTCAAGGACATTCAGAGACTTGTCCCGAAGCCACTTCAGCGTTGTCTTGGCTGTGTGCTTAGGGTGATTATCCTGTTGGAAGGTGAACCTTCACCCCAGTCTGAGGTCCTGAGCGCTCTGGAGCAGGTTTTCATCAAGGATCTCTGTACTTTGCTCCATTAATCTTTTCCTCGATCTTGACTAGCCTCCCAGTCCCTGCCGCTGAAAAACATCCCCACAGCATGATGATGCCACCACCATACTTCACTGTAGGGATGGTGCCAGGTTTCCTCCAGACGTGACACTTGGCATTCAGGCCAAATAGTTCAATCTTGGTTTCATCAGACAAGAGTATCTTGTTTCTCATGGTCAGAGTCCTTTAGGTGCCTTTTGGCAAACTCCAAGCGGGCTGTCGTGCCTTTTACTGAGGAGTGACTTCCGTCTGGCCACTCTACCATAAAGGCCTGATTGGTGGAGTGCTGCAGAGATGGTTGTCCTTCTGGAAGGTTCTCCCATCTCCACAGAGGAGCTCTGTCAGAGTGACCATCGGGTTCTTGGTGGTTCCAAACTTCTTCCATTTTAAGAATGATGGTGGCCACTGTGTATTTGGGGACCTTCAATGCTGCATAAATGTTTTGGTACCCTTACCCAGATCTGTGCCTTGACACAATCCTGTCTCGGAGCTCTACGGACAATTCCTTCAACCTCATAGCTTGGTTTTTGCTCTGACATGCACTGTCAACTGTGGGACCTTATATAGACAGCTGTGTGCCTTTCCAAATCATGTCCAATCAATTGAATTTACCACAGGTGGACTCCAATCAAGTTGTAGAAATATCTCAAGGATGATCAATGGAAACAGGATGCACCTGAGCTCAATTTCGAGTCACATAGCAAAGGGTCTGAATACTTATGTAAATAAGGTGTTTCTGTTTTTTATTTTTTTATTACAGTTTTTCTCCATTGGTTTGGCTCATTTCTTGAAACAGAAATTACATTCTCAAAACTACATGGACAAACCTCCAAACCACTTGGCAATTGTTCACAACAGAATTGAATTTCTCATTCATTTCATCAAATTGCAAATGTCTAAGTACATGTCTCAATGTCTCAGTACATCTTTGCAAATGATTAAGTACAGGTAGCCTACATTTAGCACAATTTCCAAGTGAATAGATCTTGTTGATCTAAACTGATTGTTGATTCTCAGTCTAATGGTTGTTCGCTCCAAAACGTGTCAGCGTCATTTCATTGTATAAGTCATCACATGCACAATAGTCTGTTCAATTGTCAAAATTAGTCAAGAACATAATACCATGAATACCATATATGAATCCCTTGGAACATTTGATAAATTTATTACAGCAATTGACAGTCAGGTGAAACCTTACTCTCCTTTCCTCAATCCTATTGAGGAGTATTTCTCCGCTTGGAGGTGGAGAGTGTATGAGCATCGGGCTCAAGATCAGAGGTCCCTGCTCCATGCAATGGACGCTGCGTGTGAGGATATTACAGGAGATCAGTGTAGGGGATGGTTGCGACATGCACGCCGTTTCTTCCCTCGTTGCATCGCAAGGGAGAATATACGCTGTGATGTGGACGAGAATCTGTGGCCAGACAGACAGCAGCGTGTGGATGGCCAGGAGGGTGAGGACAGCGACCAGTGAAGAACTGTTAGTTGTGAAACTCCAGCTTTATTTACAGCACTGTAGGCTGCATATAATTTTCATTGTTTTTTGTTTGTGTGTTTATATTACAGTATATTATGCTGTATACATTTTCTTTTTACTCTGATGTATGGAAGTTACTTTATGTGTGTGAATGATAATGGTTACAATTTCCTTGGCAGTATGAGTGCAATGTGTGATGTCAAACCTTGGAGGCTACTCTTACCCTAAAATCCTATTTATTTTTTTCAGTTTTATACACAATTGTATTCTGTTAGCTAGACAAAAAACAGTACAGTAACCATTGTCAATGAAGGACTGGGCTAAGACTGAAAGGTGGACATGAGGGATATTTCAATGGTCCTCTGCCATAGTGACAAAACATCTAAACATTTTGACTTGCAGTGCTTACACAATGCCAAAGGGACGAAGCATTTTGGGGGCACTGACTGTTTAAATGAGAAGGAAATTTAGTTTTGACACATGCGTGAACTGTTTTGGGAGAGGTATGAGCTTTTGCAGGTGAACCATGGTGTTGTGCCGAACCATCCACGTTATTTTGGCTAAAGCACCAAGAGTGTTGAGAACGTCCGGTCTGTTTCAAGAAATGAGCCAAAGCAATTGAGAAGGATCTTTGCCATTTTCGTGGCACTGACTCCTTATATGGGAAAGGAATTTAGTTTTGAAGCATGAGTGAACAGTTTTAGGAGAGATATGAGCTTTTGCAAGTGAGCTATAGTGTTGTGCTGAACTGTAAGACTGTTTTGCCAAATGATCTTAGAGTTTTGAGAATGTAATTTCTGTTTCAAGAAATGAGCCAAACCAATGGAGAAAAACTGTAACTTGCAACATTTTCTAAAAACCTGTTTTCGCTTTGTCATTATGGGGGTATTGTGTGTAGATTGATGAGGGAATAACATGTCTAATCCATTTTAGAATAAGGCTGTAACGTAACAAAATGTGGAAAAGGGGAAGGGGTCTGAGAACTTTCAGAATGCACTGTATAGCTAATAGTCAAAGCCTGAAGGACCATGTTTCAATTAGATTTTGCTATCTCCTGTCTAGATTCCCACAGCAAATCCAGAAAGAATTCTAAGAAAAGGAAAAAGGAAAAACAACACAAAAAGGTATTTTTATTCAAATATTCAGTTTTCAGAATTTATTTTGTTAAAGGTGTGGTTTGTGCCTTGTGAGATATCACATTGTCCTTTTCAGCAAACGTGAAGTGTCCTATGTTTTAACTATTTAATTTTTTTATAGAAAGGGAAAAAGGAGAAGAAGCATAAACGAAAGAAGGACAAGAAAATGAAGCTAGAGGAGGAAAGAGCTGGACCTGGACCTATTCAGATTTCCAAGGTAGAATACATTTACTAGGACTATCCTTAACCAATTGAGCTACAGCCATACCAGTGATTTGAAGCTTTCTGAAAGCTGTCATAAAAAAAAAGGAATTATCTGTCTTTCAGTATTTAAAGGAGAGGAGGAGAAAAGACAAGTACAGCATGATCTCAGGAAAGAAGATCAAAATGAAATTGAAGAAGTCAAAGAAAGACAAGCTGGTGTGTATAAGCTTTATGCATGAAGGTTTTTACTTACAAGGATTGTGATACGTGAAGGTTATTTTACCTACCATAGTTGAATGCATTGATTGTAAATCTCTCTAAAATGTAAACGTATGCATACTACACATTTTTTCAACAGAGGGACAAGAATCGCGCCGAACTGCTTGAGTTCCTCAACTCCACGTTGTAATGCAAAGGCTGTAACCGTTGGTTACGTTCCAGGACCTTCCACTTTTTTTCCAGAACAGAACTCAGGGAAAGACCACCCTTGTGATAAAGCTCTGAACGAACATCCATTTAAAGGGTTATTATTATCACTGCAAGACATCTGGGACATGGCCTGTGTTATCTCAAAATGGCAGCAAATACCATGTCTCAGACTTAAGACTTGTATCTCTTGTAGAAAAAGCGTGCTGTCACTCATGTGGTTGTCGGCCCCTTTCTTCACCCAGTGTAGGCTGCTGAGGGGAGAACGGCTCATAATAATGGCTAGAACGGAGCAAGTGGAATGGCATCAAACCATGTGTTTGCCGCCTTTAAGCGCTTGAGCCTGCCTGGAGTGAAAGATGGACGGGTTGACACTTTTCCTTTCGTTCCATTGAGCCGGGCACAATCAAACACACAGACATCAATTACAAACAGTGTGAAGCACAGGAGGCTGGTGGCACCTTAATTGGGGAGGACGGGCTCGTGGTAACGGCTGGAGCGGAATTCCAAAGAATTTGAAAGCAAACAGTATTTGAACCCAGGTCTGATGAACAAAGAGATTTTGTTGTAGCGTAATCTATCAAATATAACATCAGTCCGGAATTGCATTGCGTTTGATGATGATGATCTATTTTTTTCTAGTTGTTTTAAGGTCCAGAACAGTCCTGCAGCTAAACTCATGTCCCCTGGAATTTAGTTATTGTTAGATATATTGATTATCAGAGAATAATGTAAAGTATGTACAAAAGTATGATAATGTATGCACTCACTAACTGTAAGTCGTCCTGGATAAGAGTGTCTGCTAAATGACTAAAATGTAAAAATGTAAATGTAAATCTGAGACTTGAAACTGGAGGTCATCCCATGTAGTACTATACATCAATATTATTTTGGAAGAGCTTTTTATATTTTGTGAAGCCAACTTGATGTGGCAAACTGTGACAGTCCACCCAATAAAACAGCTCTTCTCTAAACAGCAATAAACTGCTGCTGTTATAGAGAGACTTTACAATAGTCATCCGAAATGTTCCGATACAATAAAGCATCCATTCCCATTGTGTATGAATTATTGCTGCCATTATGTGCCTCTTATGAGACACAGTTTGTCCTGTATCCAGGCTTTGTCAATCTTATTGGACAAGGCAAATAGCCCAGGCTCCTCGACCTTGGTTGCTAAGCAATAAAACAGTGCCTTTATGCTTACCACTGGATTTTATGCTTTTCTCCTGAGAAATTGCCATAGGAAAGTGATGGGCATTTGAAATATTTGCACAGAAATTATCAAGTAAGAGAATCTAGAGAATCAAGATGCACTGTATTCCAACTGTAAAGAGTTAGAAAGAAGATCCATATAATCTACAATTTCATACTGACCACTCCAATAGAGCAGTCAGTAATTTACTATATATTTTTAAAGCCATGCTTAGTAGCACTTCTCTTTAGAGTGCCAAAACATGCTTGAGAAAAAAAATAAACTTGTTAATTGCTTTATGTGTAAGTCTCATTTTTTTTACTACAATTAAAGTACAAATAGTTCCGGAGTATTATGTTGTTGTAAAGAAAAAAGGCACTGTAAAAGGAAGTGCATGCAACTATCTAATTTACAATAAAGGTACAGCAAAGAATGTGTCTGAACATCTCAGAACATTGTGAAATATCCTTAGCATAGCTCCCCATATCAAATTCATAAGTCAAAAACTTTCAACAGTGGATGACCCCACACTGCCGAAGGAGAAGATGGGAGAGACCTCTCCTATTTCTCTCCATTGTTGTTCAAAGCAGACTGGGCAGGTTCCGGGGGTTTATTATAGGCTACCTCTCACTAGCTTCTCTCTATCCTCCACTGAACCACAACACTGTCCTGTGGATCCCCAGCTCAGACGGCCTTGGTAGTGTACAACCCTTTGTGTCTGAAGTCGGGTATGCTCCACACCCTCTGGGCCCTGTCAGCCCTCTCCTCCAGCGCCTTCTCCACATCTTCTGACACTGTCTTCAGCTCGCACACACCCTCCCCTCCCCCTCCAGTCGAGGTCAGGCCCAAGGTGCTGCCGAAGGGGTTGATCTTGACGCGCGACTTGAAGTTAATGAGAGACATGCTCATGGCCCGTTTGTTGTTCCACTGGCGCGAGAGCCGCTGCGCCTCCTGCTCCTCCCTCATGCGGTCCAAGGCCTCGAGGACGACTGTGCGGAAAAGGGCAGACACCTCCTGCAACTCCGGCTCGTTCTCAGTCACCACCTGGCGGAACCTGGACGTCGGAGAGAGAGGAAGTCAAATCAGTCTCAGCTAGACCCATGTGTGACTGGTCGGGTTTCGAACACAGGTCTCCTTTGTGCTACATGACTGCGTTAGGTTTGCCCCCTGAGCTAAAGCCTAGGAATTAACTCAGGGAGCCAACACAGGTCTTCATGTCACTGGCAGGGGTTCAAACCTGGGTGTCTTGCGTACTACAAGACTGTTATCTCGCCAAGCTAAAGCCTAGGCATTCATACAAGAAGCCAATGTAAGTCTTCAGGACTCATCACGTGAGTATGGTTCCAAACCTCCCCCAAAAGTATATGTATCAGGATAAATGGATGATTTATCTTTAGATTTTAAAATGGTACAAACCAAGAGACCTTTAGCCATCCGCTGTAATCGATAGCTTTGTTTCACTTTGCCTGGTTATAGTCACAGAAGAGAAACCATGTGGGCGTCTACTTTTCTCATGGAGGGTTCAGAGAGTACATTTCAACTGCGTGGGAAGGGGATGAGCTCTTACTATTCCACTCAGCAGCGTTTACCATCGTCACTGTAACACCACAACATGTGCTATCACTAATACACTTGAAAAACCTTTGATCCAAACAAGCCCTCTGTCTGCATGGACAGCAGGGCAGGGGAGAGGCAGGAATAAATTGAATGATGGCCCCTCTGTCTGCATGGACAGCAGGGCAGGGGAGAGGCAGGAATACATTTAATGGTGGCTCCTCTGTCTGCATGGACAGCAGGGCAGGGGAGAGGCAGGAATACATTTAATGGTGGCCCCTCTGTCTGCATGGACAGCAGGGCAGGGGAGAGGCAGGAATACATTTAATGGTGGCCCCTCTGTCTGCATGGACAGCAGGGCAGGGGAGAGGCAGGAATACATTTAATGGTGGCTCCTCTGTCTGCATGGACAGCAGGGCAGGGGAGAGGCAGGAATACATTTAATGGTGGCCCCTCTGTCTTCCCATAGAGATATACCATATGACAGATGTTTTATATCTATGGGAAGGCCTGCCAACTAAAGATACTTACTCCTCTCAAGACGAGGCTGATAAGTTCTTAGGCCTTTAAATAGACCAGCCCCACCGGCCCCTTGCTCCTGTTGATTTGGCCGACTGGCCTCCAGCTCTTTTTATACTCTCCACCAACTCTCTCTCTCTCTCTCTCTCTCTCTCTTTGTATAGAGAACTTGACCAGAAGGCCAGTGTAGATTAGGGGAATAACACTCTGCTGGGTCGGAAGAAAGCTGATGTTTCAGATTTTCAGGGATACAGTATTTTCCCCTGAAAAACGGATGTGGGGACTCCGCTCAGGCGTCTTTTTACGCCTGCTACGTCAGGTTAGGGGGTTAAGTACAGAAAGAACTAAGGTCAAAGGTTACTTACCTCAGTATGACGGCTCCGCAGTAGGATGGATGCACCTTGGAGCACAGGTCCTCCAGGCCCAGCCTCTCACCAGGTAACACGTCGTAGGTGTTGCGTGGCTTGTTGACCAGCCAGCTGTAGTCCACGCCGGTCTGGAGTCGTCGGTACTCGTTGTCCCTCTCACGCTGCATCCTCTCGGCCTCCTTCAGCTGCCAGCTGAGCTCCAGCATCAGGGTGTCCGTGACCACGTCAGACGGGTCCCGCCGCGGACTCCGGTAGTCCGGCTCGCTGCTCCAACCGAACCACGAGGCCATCGCCTGCCGAAGCCTTGTCCCCCTCGTGCCCCGTGCTGCATGGGAGGAACCAGATGGGAGTGTGAGAAGAGGACATGGTGTAATACTGTAGTACAGTACCTTTCTAGTACAGTGCAGGCCATCATTCTTAGCCCCCTCACCAAAAGAAAAGTCTACTGTGTTTGCTAGGTTGTGGTATGGATCGTTTGTCTTATTGGGTTGGTTTTGCACAATGAGGTTTTCTCAATATTTATTTGATGAAACAGGTCATTGTAAATGGAAGGGAAGGGAATCCTATAAAGTACTCCTATTGATATTCTCCATATTGTGTAAGAGAGGATCGTTTGTAATCTCATGGTATCGTTGGATGGATTGTGTGGATGTCTAGATAGTCTGTTTAGCCTGGGTTGCCATCACATTAATGTAACCCATGGGAGGTACAGGTAATGTGCGTACCTCGCTAGCTAATGGCTGTTTGTCGCCAACAGCTTGGAGCCTGTCTCCACCTGTCTCCCCTGGACAGGCTGTTATCATAGATCAAAACATATTCCCAAAGGAGAACAGCACAAAGAGAGAGGTGTTTCACAGCCACACTCCTGTTATTCAGGTGTCTGTCTGTACGAGCTAAAGCCCTTCATATCCAGTCCCTTCCTTCACATCCACTATCATTGTGACAGTGTCCTAAATGGTACAATATTCCCTACATAGTACACCCTATAGGCTCTGGTCAGATGTAGTGCTTTAAAGGGCATAGGGTGCCATTTGGGACACAGGCTTCTCTGCTTCATAACTCCCACTTCCTGCCAATCTCTTTCAGGGGTGTCCATTAAAACTGAGGGGGCCTGTTTTATACATTTATAAAACTGAAAATACATTAGATATTGTTTGTTATACGCATAAATAATCGGAAGATAACGATTTTGACAATCTGTGCCTTTGTGTTGGCTTGATTTTTTAAAATTGTTTTTGTTAGCAAAAGTGAGATTTTGATAAAAAAATATATACATATTGTATGTTTGTGTTGGTTTTTATTGTAAATAATGTAGCTTAATAAGATTTTTCACTTAGTCCGCTCGGGGATTAGAAACAGTGACCTTTCGGTTACTGGCACAATGCTCTTAACCACTAAGATAGACAGCATGAGATTAGTCCCATGCATGCTCTCTATAAGATCAGATCAGTGCAGCTTTTTGGTAGGTACCTTTTAGACTTAAACGGTACCAAAACCATATTGGTTTATTCGGATTAGCTTTTGCCAAAGCAGCAGCTATTTTTCCTGGGGTCCACAAAAAGACACAAAACATGGCAAGTAACAAAACACTGATACACTAATAGACAAGGACAGTCACATATTAAACTACAATGATATACAAACAATACAACAAATACAAAATAATAGTGCAAACAATACAACTAATAAAATGATGTGTGTGTCTATGTGTGAGTGTTTTTGTGTGTCCCCGCCGTTCCATTAAATGTTGTTTAATCTTTTTTTAAACTAATTTTGCTGTTTGCTTGAGTAATTTGGAGATGGAAGGGAGTTGCGAGCATGGCTCTGTATAATACCGTGCGTTGCCACTGGCGTCAGACAGTTTCCCTGGACCCCGGATGTTACGTTTAGCTGTGCTTTACCTAATGGATAAATGTTTGTTGGTAGACCTATTTAGTCGTAATTTTCTCATTTTAAGCCTAACATTTCACGATCTATACAATGTGTCGCAATACTGGCATTTTTAGACTGCTGGCAATAATGTAATTACTTGTTCAATAGGCTAATTAAAGTAGGAAATTAAAACATTGCAGATTGTACCCGAACCTGCATGACATGAGCCGTCCTCGCACTCTCGCCCAGCTTGGATGGAAAGTTGTGCGTAAAACCAGTCTATTAATGCCAAATAATACAGTCAGTCCACCCTCAAAACACTAGTTCACGAGGGATTGTTTCTTTATGCAGTGTACTATCTATAGCTATATACCGTATTTTCTTGCTATTTAGCTGCTATTTATAAACTTTTGATACAAATTACATATCAAATAGCCTAACAATTAGGAAAAAAGTTGTCGGCTTGAGAACAAATTCAGCCACTACTCAGCGGGTTTTGTCTGGCTAATAGCCTACATAAATGGACTGCAATATTCAATTTGAGAGACTCCTCTGGTCTCCTGAAGTGCTCCTTTTTCGTGTGTAAATGTTTTCACCACGGCCTGTAGGTCCAGGTTGCGGGCCCAACTGTTTTCTTCACTGAGTATTGCCAACCCAGACAGCCTTTCCTATACTGAGTATTGCCAACCCAGACAGCCTTTCCTATACTGAGTATTGCCAACCCAGACAGCCTTTCCTATACTGAGGATTGCCAACCCAGACAGCCTTTCATATACTGATGATTGCCAACCCAGACTTTCCTGAGACTGTATGTCCCTTGCGCTGCACACAATTTCAATTTAGTCTTGAATGATGCCTGTCAAGATATACCAGAGACAAGGAATATTGCAACCACACAACTCAAACGCCGGTTCACCAGTAACCTACGAACTAAATCGCAAAACTATTTTTCTTTAAGCGCTCAAGAACTGCTGTCTGCTAAATATGATAATCTGTTTGCATCTGACAATTTATTGGCTGTCCAGTATCCAGACGATCTGTCCCCATAGCATCCTATACAGTTAATCTCTTTCTGTAGCGTGTTGAGCATGGCAATTAAGGAGAATGAGAGGCTCAATTAGGCTTAAAATGTTGCAGAACTTCTGTATTTGACTCACCACTCACTTATGTTTCCCTGATGTTGCTACGGCAATCAATCTGTTTTTAGCATCCCTGTAACTGTTGCTTCTGCGGAGAGATCGTTATCTAAACTAAAACTCACAAAGAACTACCTAAGAAGCATTCGGCTTTCGGTCTGATATGCACTTTTGAACACCTGAGTAAGCTCCACTCCGTCGTAGCCTTAACCACCGCATATCAAATCAAATCAAATTGTATTTGCCACATGCGCCGAATACAACAGGTGGTGAAATGCTTACTTACAGCCCTTAACCAACAATGCATTAATTTTTTTTATAAAAATGTACAATAAAACAACAACAAAAAAGTGTTGAGAAAAAAAGAGCAGAAGTAAAATAAAATAACAGTAGGGAGGCTATATACATGGGGGGTACCGGTGCAGAGTCAATGTGCGGGGGCACCGGTTAGTTGAGGTAGTTGAGGTAATATGTACATGTGGGTAGAGTATGAAAAATACAGGGGGGGGCCAGTATGAAAAATAAAATTATAATGTATGCATGCACTCACTAACTGTAAGTGGCTCTGGATAAGAGCGTCTGCTAAATGACTAAAATGTAAATGTAAAATGTAGAGTTAAAGTGACTATGCATATATAATTTTAACGTTTAATTATTGCTGCGTTATGAAAGGAACTAGACACGGACACGAATTATCTGCTTAGTGTGTCAACACACTATTGGTGGTTTGTTGTGACCAAGTGTTGGTGCTAAACTGTGTGTTATTGGATGCTAGCATGCTAGTTAGCTATGGTGTCATAGTTAGCTAGCTGAATAAAGTGGGTTGAGTCTATTCCTTTAAACATTGAACCGCTGTGGTTCACAACAATTCTGATTTCTAAAGGTGGAAGTTGGGAGAGTTTTTGTTCGGGTGGTTCAGTGAAACAATTATAGTTTCTGAGGTGGAAGTTTTGGTGAGGGAGGCCCTGCTCTCTCCTCTCCCAGATGTTTAGTTCATTTCATTCCGATCTCCTCTGCATTATTGTAGCCATTTGCTACAGCCTGTCAACTATGCCTCTGCCTATCCCTGTTCTCTCCTCTCTGCACAGGCTACACAAACGCCTCACACCGCGTGGCTGCTGCCTCTCTAACCTGGTGGTCCCTGCACGCACCCCACACCTGGAGTTCCAGGTCTCAGGCAGCCTCTGGAACTGCCGTTCTGCTGCCAACAAAGCTGACTTCATCCCAGCCTATGCTAACCTCCAGTCCCTCGACTTCCTGGCGCTGACGGAAACATGGATTACCACTGAAAACACTGCTACTCCTACTGCTCTCTCCTCGTCTGACCATGTGTTCTCGCATACCCCGAGAGCATCTGGTCAGAGGGGTGGTGGCACAGGAATCCTCATCTCTCCCAAGTGGACATTCTCAATTTTTCCCCTAACCCACCTGTCTATCTCCTCATTTGAATTCCATGCTGTCACAGTCACTAGCCCATTTAAGCTTAATATCCTTGTCATCTATCGCCCTCCAGGTTCCCTTGGAGAGTTCATCAATGAGCTTGACGCCTTGATAAGTTCCTTTCCTGAGGATGGCTCACCCCTCACAGTTTTGGGGGATTTCAACCTCCCTATGTCCACATTTGACTAATTTCTCTCTGCCTCCTTCTTTCCACTCCTCTCCTCTTTTGACCTCACCCTCTCACCGTCCCCCCCTACTCACAAGGCAGGCAATACGCTTGACCTCATCTTTACTAGATGCTGCTCTTCTACTAATCTCACTGCAACTCCCCTCCATGTCTCCGACCACTACTTTGTTTCCTTTTCTCTCTCGCTCTCCTCCAACACTACTCACTCTGCCCCTACACAGATGGTAATGCGCCGCCGCAACCTTAGCTCTCTCTCTCCCACTACTCTCTCCTCTTCCATCCTATCATCTCTTCCCTCTGCTCAATCCTTCTCCCTCCAATCTCCTGATTCTGCCTCCTCAACCCTCCTCTCCTCCCTTTCTGCATCCTTTGACTCTCTGTGTCCCCTATCCTCCCGGCCGGCTCGGTCCTCCCCTCCAGCTCCGTGGCTTGATGACTCATTGCGAGCTCACAGAACAGAGCTCCGGGCAGCGGAGCGGAAATGGAAGAAAACTAAACTCCCTGCCGACCTGGCATCTTTTCACTCCCTCCTCTCTACATTTTCTTCATCTGTTTCTGCTGCTAAGGCCACTTTCTACCACTCTAAATTCCAAGCATCTGCCTCTAACCCTAGGAAGCTCTTTGCCACATTTTCCTCCCTCCTGAATCCTGGAAA